TTCTAGACTTATGTGCACGACCTCGGACTATTTCTGATTAAATCCTGCAGTACGGGAACAGGCTAACTGTCGGCAAGTTGGTTTTTGTTGTTGTTGTAGCGGCTGCAACAACCCCGCCCAAATCGGTTAATATCTCAGTCGTCGTCGTCAAGTTCCACTAACGGCAGCCCTAAGAAGCGTGCAGCCTCAATAGGGTCGGTCCACAGGGACAAAGGCGTTAGGGTTCTCGGGTTTTCCGGGCATACGAAGAGATGTTTCGAGTCATGGGGTGCCTCTCCGCATGCCGACACTCATTTGGTACATCTGCGTTTATTCTGCTCAGGTATGAGTTCAACCTGCTGCAGTAGCAGGTGCGAAGTTGGGCTATTGTGGTTCTAGTCTCCCGAGGCAGATGAAGCTCCGCCTCGTCAATGTCCAGTGGTTGTGCGCCTAGAACGCCATTCACAGGTCTGGTGTCTACATAACTCGAGACTTACTCCCTATGAATGCCGTTCAGGGCCTGTCGATAAGCTGACGGGTTCAGAGGTTGTTTAATGAACCTCTGGACTTCGTCCGTCAGTTCGTGCAGATGCCTCCTGACGTGCCTGGGCGAGAGCTCTTCTGCAAACAGTTTCCTGTTTAGGTGACCGCGTCTATGGCTCCTGACAAGAAACCGCTTGCAGAGCATTGTGTTGTGCTCCTTAATCGGGAGCAATTTCGCCTCGTCGTGCAGGTGGTGTTCTGGCGACATCAGAAGGCATCCAGGCGCTGTCCGTAGTGTGGTGTTTTGCGTCGTCTGCAGCTTCATCCACTGGCTTGAGGACCTTGTTGCGGCTCTGTACTTTGTTGACAATAGCGGTTGCGTGCGCAGAGAAGGAGAGCAGACTGTCGAAGGTTACTCCGAGTATCTTGGGGTTATTCACCGTCGGATGTATGTATCATCGACGTGAATTCCCAGCGGTAGCCTGATCTCCTTCGTCCAGTTGGTGAAGAATGTCGCAGAGCATTTTGTAGGGGAGAGAGTTAGGCTCCTTGCAGTGCAGAAGCGAGAAAGCTCGGAGATATACCGGTTTACTTTCGAACACAAGTCATCGATTCCATTCCCGGCCGGCGTAAGAGACAATCGAGACTCCCTGTGGTGGTTGAGGGAGCTTTGAAAAGTAAAAGTTAAACAGTAGCGGGGAAAGGACACCATCCTGTGGAACCCCCTGTTTTATTTTTCTGAGTTTGCTCGATTTGTCTCTAAACATTACCGACGAGTATTGACCACTCAGATAATTCGCCGACCACCGTTTGAGCCTCTGTGGAAGAGAGGAAGCCTCTATATCTTCTAGCCGCGTGGAGTTGCTGACGGTGTCAAACGCCTTTGAGGTCCAACGCTACTAGAATGGTTCTCTCACAGGGACGGTTGCGGGTANTTTGTTGTTGTTGTAGCGGCTGCAACAACCCCGCCCAAATCGGTTAATATCTCAGTCGTCGTCGTCAAGTTCCACTAACGGCAGCCCTAAGAAGCGTGCAGCCTCAATAAGGTCGGTCCACAGGGACAAAGGCGTTAGGGTTCTCGGGTTTTCCGGGCATACGAAGAGATGTTTCGAGTCATGGGGTGTCTCTNCTCGGGTTTTCCGGGCATACGAAGAGATGTTTCGAGTCATGGGGTGCCTCTCCGCATGCCGACACTCATTTGGTACATCTGCGTTTATTCTGCTCAGGTTTGAGTTCAACCTGCTGCAGTAGCAGGTGCGAAGTTGGGCTATTGTGGTTCTAGTCTCCCGAGGCAGATGAAGCTCCGCCTCGTCAATGTCCAGTGGTTGTGCGCCTAGAACGCCATTCACAGGTCTGGTGTCTACATAACTCGAGACTTACTCCCTATGAATGCCGTTCAGGGCCTGTCGATAAGCTGACGGGTTCAGAGGTTGTTTAATGAACCTCTGGACTTCGTCCGTCAGTTCGTGCAGATGCCTCCTGACGTGCCTGGGCGAGAGCTCTTCTGCAAACAGTTTCCTGTTTAGGTGACCGCGTCTATGGCTCCTGACAAGAAACCGCTTGCAGAGCATTGTGTTGTGCTCCTTAATCGGGAGCAATTTCGCCTCGTCGTGCAGGTGGTGTTCTGGCGACATNTGAAGTTTGTCACGCTCATCGGCTAGAACAGCCGCTTCAGCAGGGAAATTTGGACGGNGCAGATGCCTCCTGACGTGCCTGGGCGAGAGCTCTTCTGCAAACAGTTTCCTGTTTAGGTGACCGCGTCTATGGCTCCTGACAAGAAACCGCTTGCAGAGCATTGTGTTGTGCTCCTTAATCGGGAGCAATTTCGCCTCGTCGTGCAGGTGGTGTTCTGGCGACATCAGAAGGCATCCAGGCGCTGTCCGTAGTGTGGTGTTTTGCGTCGTCTGCAGCTTCATCCACTGGCTTGAGGACCTTGTTGCGGCTCTGTACTTTGTTGACAATAGCGGTTGCGTGCGCAGAGAAGGAGAGCAGACTGTCGAAGGTTACTCCGAGTATCTTGGGGTTATTCACCGTCGGATGTATGTATCATCGACGTGAATTCCCAGCGGTAGCCTGATCTCCTTCGTCCAGTTGGTGAAGAATGTCGCAGAGCATTTTGTAGGGGAGAGAGTTAGGCTCCTTGCAGTGCAGAAGCGAGAAAGCTCGGAGATATACCGGTTTACTTTCGAACACAAGTCATCGATTCCATTCCCGGCCGGCGTAAGAGACAATCGAGACTCCCTGTGGTGGTTGAGGGAGCTTTGAAAAGTAAAAGTTAAACAGTAGCGGGGAAAGGACACCATCCTGTGGAACCCCCTGTTTTATTTTTCTGAGTTTGCTCGATTTGTCTCTAAACATTACCGACGAGTATTGACCACTCAGATAATTCGCCGACCACCGTTTGAGCCTCTGTGGAAGAGAGGAAGCCTCTATATCTTCTAGCCGCGTGGAGTTGCTGACGGTGTCAAACGCCTTTGAGGTCCAACGCTACTAGAATGGTTCTCTCACAGGGACGGTTGCGGGTAAGGCCACGTGTTATCTGAGTGTTTATGGCGTTAAGTGCTGTTGTTGTACTGTGCACTTTACGGAAACCATGCTAATGCTTCGCTGGGGTCAGGTGGTTCGTGAAATACGGGAGGAGCAAGGCCTCAAGTGTCTTCGCTACCGGGGAAAGAAGTGTTATTGGCCGATAAGATTCTCCTTTGTTTGCTGGTTCCCCCGGTTTGAGCAGTGGGGCCACTCCAGATGTCTGGGATGATGAGAGTGGCCATTGACATATTGAGGACCTCCGTTAGGTACGCTACTCCCGCAGGACCCACATTTTTCAGCATCAACATGCATATTCCGTCGGGACCCATGGCTTTGGAGGCTTTCGCCTTCCCGATGGCCACCTGAANGTGCAGCCTTCTGGTCATTCGACGCTTGGCTTTGTCTGCCGGAGGATGCAGTATGAACTGCCGGCTAAAATAGCTCGCGCATCGCTCCGGGTCCGACGAAGAATGGTCGCCGAAAGAAATTTCGATCCTGTCATCGTGCTTCATCGGATTGGACAGTGACCTCACGGTTGACAAAAGCGTACTCACACCAGAGCCGAAGTTGCAAGTCTTCAGATGCTCTTCCCACTTTTTCCGCTTATGTACGTTCACAAGCTGCCGAATCTCCGCGTTGAGATCCCTAATACGGGGATTTCCGGGATCGGCCTGATGAAGTTTGTCACGCTCATCGGCTAGAACAGCCGCTTCAGCAGGGAAATTTGGACGGGGGTCGGTGATGCATCCTGCCGGTACGAAGCGAGCTGCAGCAGCAGTGACAACCCTGCGGAACCTTCACCAAGGTGGACGTCGGTTGGTGTATGGACCACGGCGAAGGTGCTCACAGTAAATTCCGCGAAGCCTTTCCAATCAGCTTTAGAAAAGTTGATATAGGCCCGGTGTTCCGCGGAAGAAAAGTCGGTTGGTTTGTCGATCGAGATGACTGTGGGCTGATGGTCTGATGCGAAAGTCAGCATGTCGCCTTGATACGCTGTTTTCAGACCAGGGCTGACTATTGTTATGTCTGGCGAGCTGCAGCAGCTGCCCATAATCCTGGTGGGTGCGCCGTCGTTCATTGTGCAGAATATCGAATCATCTGTCTGCTCAGCCAAGTCTGTTCCCCTACGATCGTTTGACAGGCTTGAATGCCAAAGATCGTGGTGTGCATTAAAGTCACCTACTACCATGCGGTTTTCACCTCTGAGGAGCGCACCTATATCAGGGTGATATCCTGCCGGGCAGCAAGTGACAGGGGGTATGTACACGTTAAATATATTTCAAGCTCAACATCGCCTGACCGGATAGCGATGCCCTGACAGTATAAGGTGGTATCCCTGCGGTCGATGTCTGCTTCAATAAGACGATACTGCACGGTGGGGTGCGTGATGAACGCTAAGCTACCACCATTGTCTCGCTCGCGATCTCGACGGTGCACGTTGTATCCGGCACAATTCACCAACGTTGAATTGCTGTGCAACTGCGTCTCTTGGATCGCAGCTATCAATATACCATACCTTCTCATGAAGACAGTTATCTCCTCGGGCTTGCTCTGAAGTCCGTTACAGTCGGCAAGTTGGTTGCAGGTATGGATTGTCAAAGGCACAAACCAAATTTGGTAAAAAAATGGTTGCATTCGTATAAACTCCAAATAAAAGTGTTGTTTAAGGAGGAGAGTTTAACGAAATTTTTTGTATGGTAAACTCCGAGTTTACGAGTGGAGTTTAGCGTTAAACTCCAAATTGGCCCATAAACTCCAGTTTGTGGCTTAATAGGGACGAATATAAGGTGCTTAATGTGGTTGCTGTCGCGATTCAAGACCTGCTTAGTGGATGTGCATTAGTTACAATACCAAATTCGCTTTTAAAACACAATCTTCAGAAGCCGATCAAAAAGCATACGAAGAAACTACTCGTTATTTACTTAATTGTTATAAATTATATGACTCGAAAATGTTTGTTTTTAATTTTAAGTATATGATATAATAATTGAACCAACATTTCTTTACAGACGATACATGGGAACGAAAATATGTTTTTAGGAATAGTTTCTAATGACAACTTTGAAAGAAACGTAAAATCTTTAAATAGTGCTTACGAACAGTATGTACTTAGCGTTGGAGAATTCGATGAAAGGATTTTATTAAGCAATCCTAATTATCGTAAAGTAAACAGTTCTGGTAAGTTATATTTACAATATTGTTTCCTATTTAATTTAAATTTAATTTTTTTTCAGATGTAGGCGACGAAAGCCTTTCTGTGAGTCTTAATCAATGTTTCTCTAATTACACGGTGCTACCAAAAAAAAAATCACGAAATACACCCGAAACAAAACTTATGGCCTTTTATGTATGGCAACTGGTGTCTAGTTGCTGGTCTAGTAGCCGTGGCTACCACTACCGTACTTTGTATTATGTATAGCGATTAATCTCAGTATACAGAAAAACGCAGACGGCATCCGAATTTATTTTTTTGCCATGTAAATTTCGAAGTAATTGGCAACTTTTCTCCAATGCGTTTAACGAATTATGTAAACAAATAACAAAATCGTCACAAGCGGGATACATAAAATTGCGCTACTAGACTCAGTAGCCGACGGTCAGTAGCCAGTTGCCATACGTAATGCGAATTTTTGTATATGGTTGGCCATCGGCTATCAGTCGCCATACAAAATAGGGCCATTAGTGTAGGTTGTAGGTAGGGTCGAGTATAATATGAAAATAAATTTCGTATAGTTCCTTAACCCTCCATTTTTTTATTTTTTATTTAAAAACAGTCATTATGTTCGTATTTGATGCACTTATCTATAACAGCTTGACTAATATTGAAAAGGGGATGTAGAGTCCTTTAGAATGACGTACAACACTATGTAGTTAGACTTGGCTTGTTGGAAGTTTTCATTGGGTAAAATTTAAAAACTATTTTTCAAATTTTTTTTTTAACTTTGACCATCGCTTATTTTAACAATTTCTATAAAGGTGGCCAAATATCTAGTACCTATTTAAATGTACATTTATTTTCGAATAAATTGACAACTCACCTAAGGCAATTGCATACATATTGTCGAAGATAAGCAATTTAAGCAGAAATACGGCCTTGAAGATATTTCACTTTCAGACTTTCAGATTTTTTGAGCAGTGTGGCTAGGAAATTCATCAATATTTACTCAAAATTGATGTATGCAATGGCTCTTCAGCAAAAAATTTATTTTTCGTAAAATTTTTGGAAATTCGTCGTGGCACGGCCCACTTATATCATATATGTGTAGCTCAAAAACGGTTTCACCGAGCATTTAATCTTTTACTGTGCAATACAAAGAACAGATAAATACATGTAAATACTAGGATAAAAATATACAGTAACAAAAATATATATAAAAACAAGTATTACAGAAATATGCAAGTATGAATAAAAAGTTATAATGTAAATGTAGTAACTAGAGTACAAACAGAAATTGTATATAACGTAGAAACCTAAAGAGAAAATTTATAACCACCTCATTATGCGACTTTATCAGTGAAATATGCAAAGATAAGTTTTTTTGAAATTGCATGCACAAAGCGAGTTTTTTTAAAGACAAGAATATAAAATTAAAAGCGCGTGTGCATTTGTAAAACTTAAGCTTATCATACAGATATTCCGGCATTTTATAAACTAACAATTTTAACATAAATATACAATTACGAGCTTTTATATAGTTTCTTAGGTCGCAGCCAAGTATCGAGTTTCTCAAGGTAGATAAATGCTCAAATTTCTTCAAGCCATATACATACCTAGTGGCATGGTTAAATGCAACATCGAGTTTGTGGAGGTAATGAGAGTCTAGTTTGCTGGTACACTTTCGAAATACGTAATTTGAGGAACAATAAGGCTTGAGACCAGCTGTTTTTTCGTATCAGAGGGTACGAAAAGTGAGGATACTCTGAGGCAGCGCAAGGTGTAGTAAATTTTTCCCACAACTCTCTACCAAATTTGATATACGTGCTTAGTCTCCTTAAGCGCCGCCTTGAAAATTTTTAAAATCTAGATCGATGCAGTAGCTTTTGGGATATGCATCTATGATATAATTTTCCTAAAATTTTATGAAAAGCTAATGTTATGCAAAAGAGTCTTCGTATACATATGTATATCAATTTGAACAAATATTGATGAATTCCTTAGCCACATCGCTCAAAAAATCTGAAAGTCGGTCACATATAAACAAATAAATTAAAGACCGTATTTCTGCTTAAATTGCTTAACTTCGATAATTTGTATGCAGTTGCATTAAGTGAGGTATCATTTTTTTCCCATTCCTTAGCCACACTGCTCAAAAAATCTGAACGTCTGGTACATACACACAAATAAGTTTGAGCCCGTTTTCTACTTAAATTGCTTTAATAATAATAATCCCACCGGTTTTGCTCCATTCCCGCCCATCCGCACGAGGGGCGCAGTCCGCATGACGTACGGAACCAATATTTTCAATTTTTTGTGCCGAGTCACGACAGGCAGGAGTTTGTTAAGTTTCGAGATCTAAAACTTCAGCCACAGAACTAAATTAATCAGCTGATTATTATGTATTTATGTTAGTGAATCATTTATGGAGAGAGGATAGTATCGCTTTCTTTATGCTGAAAAGCGAATCAGATATATCAAATGTGCTGGAATGAGAGTTAAAATCCTGGCATAAGCAATGGAGTGGTTCGTGTAATTCAAAATTAGTTTTACAAGTTTTCAAAAATAGGGGATAAAAGTGTCTTGACGGGAGGGAACATTAAGGCTAATTTCATCCAGAAGAAGCGGACTTGAAACTGAGCCTGCCAGTAATTTAACCATAAAAATTGTACCAAGCATTTCCCTGCGACTGACAAGTGTAGGAAGATTAATAAGTTTTAATCGGCTAGTATAAGGCGGAAGGTTATATTGAGAATCTCAACGGAAATTTCTTAAAGTAAAGAGTAGGAATTGTTTTTGAATTGATTCTATCTTGTCTGAGTAAATTTTATACCTTGGATTCCAAACCACTGAACCGTATTCCAGAATCGGTCTAACTAATGTTGTAAACAGGGCTTTAGTGATATAAGAGTCACTTGGTTCTTTTAACCATCGTTTCAGAAATGCAAGTACACCTTTAGCCTTGTTGCCTATTACATCAATGTGAAGGTTAAAATTAAGTTTCAGATCCATTGTGATACCAAGGTCCACAAAATTGTATACCTGTTCCAAATTATGGTTATCTATTGTATAAGAAAGTGGCTCTTCGCGAGAAGCACCTTACTTTACATTTTTTCAGATTTAGAGGCATACGATTTACATAGCAGCAGTTAGCCATGCTGTTTAAGTAAGCTGTGCTTTTAGTTGTTTTCGCAAATTCTCAATGAGATTCATATCCGCGGATTGGGGAGGTCATTTCGAAATAGCAAATTTTTGCGTTTGCATCCTGTCTTTGCGAACATATGCAGAATGTTTTGGGTGATTTTTCAGCAGAAACTCTTATTTTTCGACTACATCTTGCAAATTGTGTTGAAATATGAACAGATACTGTTCCTTACGCATAATGTGTACTAACAGACCAAGAAAATGTTTGAAATACAACCCCAAACTATTATTGACCGACCACTGTTATTCACAGTTTGCCTTACATGCTGCGCATGGGCTTAATTTGGTCTTTGACCCAATACCATGCCCGGCCATCTGATTGAAAGCGATTAATTTACTCTTGCCAGACCAAATAACCTTCAATTGAAATTTAAAAATATGTTTNGGGAGGTCATTTCGAAATAGCAAATTTTTGCGTTTGCATCCTGTCTTTGCGAACATATGCAGAATGTTTTGGGTGATTTTTCAGCAGAAAC